ATCAGTCAGAAGTCTTTAATCAATGGGTTTTTATTAATGTTTGTTATCATTATTTAAAGTAAGATCAAAACAGTCACTCCCAATCTCCAGGTTTTTAACCGATGACTCAAACAGTCAGAGAAATTGTTTTTGTAATTTTGTAATAAACAGAAAAATATTTTATGCCTTGTACTGATGTAAGCTACAGAATTTGACTCGACTGTGATGGTTGATTAATTAAAGACAAAGATAAAACTAAGCAACTTTTGTTCAAAACTTATATGTATAATTGTATAATTTACACAAACTGTAAAAATATTCTCTGGTGACTCAGTTCCTTTGTTGTCTTACAGCGCCTCCTCTGGTCATTCATAAATAGTACAGCTATTCAGGCATGTGAGTCTGATGCATCTAATCTAATCCAATATCAGTGCTGAAGCGAATTTTGCTTTATATAGTAAATATGATTTAAAAAACAAATATTATAAGGTTAAAATCTGACTGATAATATAGATAAATAGACATGCTGAATTCCACCAAATCCTCAAAGGTGACACATTTAGAGCACAGGGCAGACTGTGATTGTAAGAAATTTACTCAGTCCTTTGATGGCCTTTGTCTTAAAGTCTTTATTCCAGGCCACTGCAGGGAGAGGATGCTGTCTGTCACAGCGACTGATAGAAAATATGAAGCATCTTGTTGCAAATATTGAAGAAGCTGAGTTGAGTCTCCTAGGAAGTAAAGCAGAATTTTGGCCCTTCTTGTAGATGGCCCTGTATTGTTGGATTAGTTTAACTTTTTAATCTCATTATTTATGCTGTGACTCATTGCTGATGTAAAGCCAGTTGTTTGGGAGATGAATTACTGAAAGAAGGAAAAACTTGCATTTGTTTGAAAATGAAATGTATAAAAGGACTTCTCTTAATTTTCAATAATCTCCTAAAAGCAACAGTCCAACTTTTTTTTTTTTTTAAACTTAGGAGTGTTTGTTCTTAACTGGTTTTATGTCTTTATTAGTCAAAGAGCTCCCCCTCTGGTGATTTTCTTTGTCTACCTTTATGTTCTGAGGGGTTTTTGTACAGCTCTGCTGCTTATTTGTGTCACTGTGACTCTCTGGCACAGTAATACACAGCAGAGTCTTCAGGCTGCATATTCTCTCCATTCAAAGTCACTGTTTTACTGGAAGTGTCTAAATTAATGCTAAACTTGTTCTTCAAAGAATCTTTGTAGTATGAGTTTCCATAGCTATTTTTTATCCCAATCCATTCCAGTCCTTTCCCAGCA